GCCACCAAGACCCGGTAATCTAGTGGACTATTTATTAGCACATCCCACTACGAAATCCAATTCTATCGTGCAAATTGATACACTATGGTCCGTTATAATTGATGGTCTCTCTGATGTATGGCCGCCAACTCGTACTTCTTTAGGTGGTGTATCGCTTGGCGACGTGTGGCCTTGCGATGTTCTGAAATCATCTTCAAAAGACTCGCAAGGTGATGAGGATGAAAGTGAACGTTTAGTGCCATTTCACAAACTCTCACAGTGGCTCACTTATTCTCTTATGGAGCCAATGACAAAAATTCTCGATATCAAATTCGAGGGAGTGGAAAATTTAACGGGATTACCAGAATATCGAAATGGTATGTTTAGATACTTAGAATAATTTTTCGAATAATCAAATATTTCAAAAATCCAATTGATAAGTGATGATCATCTATCATTGCAATGAATGATCCTCGCATTATTTATTCTCTTCCACAAGTCTTCAAATAATGAATTGCTTCACTTCTTTAATCCATTTCTTTAATTGATTATGGGATGGGTTTATTTTCATTATAGGCGGTCTTTTTGTGGATACTGGATTATTGACTCTCAAGGAGGCGGATCGAGCGCGCGGAATTTCCTATTTCAAACAAAATTTCCCAGAATCAAATGATAACGACGAGATTGTTCCTCTATTTGAAGCAAGCGATCCTGTCATCATTGAATGGCGAGCAATGACTGTCATTCTATTGGATAAGGTAGCAGAGAAGATACGAGAAATTCTTGCTGAAAATTTAACGCTCGCGCAAGTTCTTGAGGCTGGTACTTGGAAAGTATGTCAAAAATTTTTAATTGGGAATTTTTGATAAATCAAAAGTCCTAGTTTGGCATAATGTTAATTTTTCTTTGCGCATAAAAATTCTTCTAGGCTGGTAGAGAAACTGCACAGAAATTAAGGCCTAAAACCAAAGGTCCGCCAATTTCTATCAAATCTGATGGAACTGTTTTTTAATGAATTACAGATTGTAGCTATATATAAAAGCAAACAAGTTGAAAATATTTAAAAGTATACTTCAGCTTTGATAATTATATTTAAATAATTAATTATACAGTCTAACCTCTCTATAGTCACATCCTAAAAACTGTGACTATATAGAAGTGTGCCTATTATAGAGGTTTTCTTTATATAGTTACATCTATATTAAAATATATTTATGGTGATTATATAGAGAATTATTTATTACAAATAAAGTGTAATATTGAATTTTTTCCTTCATATCATCATCTTTTCCAATTTGCAATGTCATCTGTTTTTAAAAAAACACGTCATATTAGCAACAAAGAAATATGTGAGTTAGCTAAAAAAATTCATCTTATAAATAGCAAGAAATAGCAAGTGAATTTATGAAATGGTATTTAGATCTGAAATAGATCATTCAATTGTATCGAAAATATTGATAAGTATAAATTTTGTAATAATATACATATTAAAAAAACTTTTTACTTTATTTTGTGAAGTATTCAATATTAAAATATATTATAAATATGTAAATAAATCAGATCACAACTAAAAAAATAATTATATTAAATTTAATAGTAAAAGAAAAAGATTATTAATTTGTATAAGACCAAATAAATTAATTATATTTTTAAATAGATAAACTATTAAATTTAAGTAGTATAATAGATTAAAAAAAATTTTAATGCATAGTGAAATAGCAAGTATATTATTAGAAAACTTATCTGAAAAATAGAAAAAATTACAAGAATTTCTTTTTAATTATAATCCAGAATAAAAATAGCTCTTTAACTATTATAATATAATGATAAATAAGTATTATTTAGTTGTAACTAGTTGCAATTTATAAAATTTTGAAGTTATAACATGTTATAATAGATAACAAATAAGTATTATATACTTGCTATATCATCTCTAATTTAAAAGATATATAATGTTAATAAAATAGATTTATTTTATTAATTACTTTTGAATTAAATACTTTTTACAAAATTGATAATTAGAAAAAAAAAGATAAAATTAATAATTTAAAAAAATTAATTAAATTTAATAATTAAATATTTAAAAAAAATTAATTAAATTTAATAATTAAATTTTTTAGAAAAAAGTAAAAGTAATTGTATTATTCTGCTTAAATTTAATTAGCTTTTATAAACTTTATCTATTAATTATTAATACTTCTAAAAAGTTATAATATTTCAATAGAATAAAAAAATATAAATAAAAAAATATTTAAGAATATTAATTATATTATATAAATAATAGTTTTCATATTTAAGATAAAAAAATTTTACTTTTTGTTAATAATATAATTTCTTATATAATTTCAAAAATAAATAATATTCAAGATAATTAAGATAATAATTAATGCAAATAAATAATTATCTAAAAATAATTTTATTAATAAAATTAAAAAACTTAAAAAAAATTATAAAGAAAATTATAAAAAGATTATAAAAAAGATTATAAGAAAAATTATTAAAAAGATTATAAGAAAGATAGTAAGAAAAACTAAGAAAAATTTTGGATCTTTCAAATATTATTATATATTTTCTTTTATTAATATAATCATATACAGTGGCAATCAAAAATAATGCAACACTTAAATTTTTTACTAATTATAATTAGTAAAATACGTATTTTTTCTTACATATAAAA